AGCGCTGAGCGAGCGAGGAGGGGAGTTGGCTTCAAGAGGACAGGTGGAAACACAGGTGCCAAGGCGCTCCCTGGGGGCGGGGGCAGGACTGGCCCCAGACGACCACCGATGGACTGCCAGCATTGGAAAGACAGTGGGAGAGCTGTCATGCCTAAAGGACGCCGAGGCAGAGAGGAACATGGAAGGCAGGACTGTTGTGAACACGGGGCTTGAGGTCACTTGCCCAAAGCTGGGCTGCTTGCCGGGCAGCACAGAATCAGCTGCGTTCAGATCTGCCCTAGGCTTCCCCTCCTTCTACTGAGCATCTCGCTTCCTGCACAGGTGTGGGAGCGGAGACTCGGGGAGCGTGGCCCTGGGGCGTGGCCCTGGAGCGTGGCCCTGGGGCGTGGCCCTGGAGCGTGGCCCTGGAGCGTGGCCCTGGGGCGTGGCCCCGGAGCGTGGCCCCGGAGTGTGGCCCTGGAGCGTGGCCCTGGGGCGTGGCCCTGGAGCGTGGCCCTGGGGTAAGCTGCACCAAGGCAGGCGTCTGTCCGACAAAGCGACGGAAAGGGAAGGGTGCTCTCCTACGAGGCCGTCTGTCTTAGCGCTGATGCTAGGCTGGCTGGGGGGACTACTCCAAGCTCACGTATTTCCTTAGCCAGCTTGACGAGGAAAACATCAAATTGACCGAATCTTTATTTTAAGGGACCGTTCCCTGTAAGTACTGCCCCTTGATCCACATTTCATAGGCTTTGGGGGTGCGTGAACTACCACGTGTTCAAGGTTGGAAATCCTATAAAGTAGCTCCAGACAAATGGATGAAAGGAGAGGCCAGCAAGCCCTGGGAAGCCACACTGCTGACAGGGACAGGCGAGAGCCCAGCTGGCACTGTGCACAGAGGGACGGCGTGCCAGTCCCACCTGAGACTTCAGTGTGTCCAACCCAAGTTCTGAGTTCCCTGCCGAGCTGCTAAACAGCCGTGGCTGTCTCCGCGGTCCGGGGAGCTCCAGCTACCACCGTGTGCAGGCGATGCCTCCTGGAACCGGGCGCGCTCTGCCAACACGTCAGATGGTGGGCAGCCCGGAGTCACCCCTACCACACCCGCGGGGCTGCTCCTGGGGCTTCCCAGGCGCCTTTGCTGCCTGTCCCTGTGTTGATTTTGGTTGCCTGAAGCTCTGGCTCTAGAACATTCCCTGTGTTTCTATCAGTTTATAAAAGCTCACAACCATCATTCGCTGAAAAACCGCACCTTTGGCCCCTACCTTGCCCTTGGGGTGTCATAACTGTAAATACTACACTGCTGAAAATCCAGAGGGCAATCTTCCTTTCCTTTGTGAACTGACTTGTCCTGTTGCCCAAGGGCTTCCCTCTCTCTATAAGAAATGCAGTAACTTCCGGCCGGCTCACTAGGCTAATCCTCCACCTGCGGCGCCGGCACACCGGGTTCTAGTCCGGGTCAGGGCACCAGATTCTGTCCCGGTTGTTCCTCTTCCAGGCCAGCTCTCTGCTGTGGCCTGGGAGTGCAGTGGAGGATGGCCCAAGTGCTTGGGCCCTGCACCCCATGGGAGACCAGGAGAAGCACCTGGCTCCTGCCTTCGGATCAGCGCGGTGCACCGGCTGCAGCAGCCATTGGAGGGTGAACCAGCGGCAAAAGGAAGACCTTTCTCTCTCTCTCTCTCTCTCTCACTGTCCACTCTGCCTGTCAAAAAAAAAAAAAAATGCAGTAACTTCCTGGGCTGTCTTCCTGGGCTCCACGTGCTCGGGAGTGTCGTGCCCATCTCCATACGCACTGTGAGTTTCCTTTTATTTCATGGACGACCAGCTGCGTTGTCATTCTCATCTGTATTTCCTCAGGAACCTCCACTGTACGTATTTCGGGATTTCCTTCCCTAGCATCTAGATCTGCCCACTTCCTCCCGACTCTTTCTTGTCGGCTGTTACAAGTTTCTTCTTTTTTAATTTATTTTTGACAGGCAGAGTTAGACAGTGAGAGAGAGAGAGACAGAGAGAAAGGTCTTCCTTCCGTTGGTTCATTCCCCAAATGGCCACTACGGCCGGCGCTGCACCGATCCGAAGCCAGGAGCCAGGTGCTTCTCCTGGTCTCCCATTGGGTGCAGGTGCCCAAGCACTTGGGCCATCCTCCACTGCCTTCCCGGGCCACAGCAGAGAGCTAGACTGGAAGAGGGGCAACTGGGACTAGAACCCAGGGTGCCGGCGCCACAGGCGGAGGATTGGCCAAGTGAGCCACGGCGCCAGCCACAAGTTTCTCCTTCTCACTCTTCCGTCAGGCGTGGTGCGTGTCTTCCACTTCAGCTGTCTTTCTTCATAGGGATTTCCGGAACTCACAGTTGCGTCCACTTCTGGAGTTGCAGGATCCCGGGCCGTGCTGACCTTCAGCGGCTTCCTGCAGTTTGCGCTGAGGGTCGTAGGCTTCCCCTCTCCTCCCTCCGCGGGAGCCTCCTTCAGACGCGGTCTCATTATCTGCAGGGCACTGTTCCGTTCTGCATTCTTTTCCCTGGAGTAGATCTGCAGGGCGCGCGGCCCTTCTCTGTTAGGAGATTTGCTTTTCCGAATTTTCAGGAGGGAGCCCTGGGTCTCAACAGCGTCTCCAGCTTCCTGGCCTCACGGCTCCCTCTTTTGTTCTCAAGGAAGAATGAAGGGCGTGGCGGGTCCTGGATCACCCACTCCCAACTCTCTCATCATCCGTATAACCAGCGCCACCATCGTCATCGTCATCCTGGTCCTGCTCACTTGGTTCTATTCCCAGCAGCTTCTCCTCTACGTAGGACAGGGTATGCGTACCCTGGATGCGACTGTGGCTGGCTGGTTTGTCCGTGGTCCCTGGCACCCGCCCACACACTGGACTTGGCACAGCCTCTCCTGTGCCGCTGTTCCTGCCACTGCTGCTGTCCAGGGGCCCTCGCTCGGCTGCTGGGGGTTCTCTTGTTCCCGCTCCCTCTGCCATCCCATGGCCTCCCTCCACCTCTTCCACTTGGGTCACGTGGCTGATGTGCGTCCCTGTCTGGTGTTTTGAGGGTTACGGAGGTGTCTCGCCAACTGGATTTGTTGCAAATGTTGCGTGTGCAGTTTCTGTTTTGCTATATCCTAGCTGTGCTGTGAGTTTTTGTTGGAGAGCAAGTGGGAATGTAAGGTAATTACAAAACACCACCAGCATCACCATCTTCCAAAAGCATATGTTCAGAAAGTTTTGAAATTTCTATGTCTGTATCCCCATCTGGCTTGAAGATCAAAGGCCAAGAAGGATATTGTACCGCTGATCCTTGGGAGGCCGACGCTGGTCAGAATGATCGTGCTGAATGTGCTGCGTTGAACTCTGGGAAAGACTCAAGTCGGAATGTTCTGTAGAGAATCGATGGAAACGTCAATATGGCGCTGGCAAAGACGAGGCTAGAAATGGGACCAAACCGTTTCCCCCCCTTTTGGCTTGCCTGGAATTTTTAAAATGATCTTCATTATCATTCAGAATGTCACTTAAATCTCATTTTCCGTAAGGATTTTTCCAAGTTGGAAAATCAGTGAAACTGGGCTTCAGAGACAAAATTTAAAGAGCAGTGGTTTTCTACTTACTACTTGTCGCGTTCTTTATTTAGTGGAGGGTTGAGCTTGCGATTATAAAATAGACGGAAAGTATGTCACTGTGAAAAATTTAAAAAGTAAGAAAGGAGGAGCGAGGAGGGAAGGGTGGGAGTATCATTACGCCCTTAAAGCTGTAGAAATGAAATGTGCTCCCTTTATGTCAATTAAAATGTAAAAAAATAAGGAAGGAAGAGGATAAAACTGCAGCACAGCCAAGCAGCTCGCACGCTACTTTCTTATTTTCTGTCAGACAACAAGCACGCTTTTATGAACCGTCCTGCTGGCCACCCGGTTACGGACCCTTGCTCCATCAATGGAGACCGACTGGGCGCACGCGGCCCCTGGCGGTCCTCACTGCCCAGAGATCACAAGGACTGGGCTCCTCATGTCTGGTCTCATCTTCACTAAGTCGCAGTGGGAGTGAAATCCATTACGGATATTGTGAAAAGGGCTCTTCCCAGAGGGAAGAAGGTTCTTTTTTTTTTTCTTTTTTTTTTTTTTTGACAGGCAGAGTGGACAGTGAGAGAGAGAGACAGAGAGAAAGGTCTTCCTTTGCCGTTGGTTCACCCTCCAATGGCTGCCACGGCCGGCACACTGCGCTGATCCGATGGCAGGAGCCAGGTGCTTCTCCTGGTCTCCCATGGGGTGCAGGGCCCAAGCACTTGGGCCATCCTCCACTGCACTCCCTGGCCACAGCAGAGGGCTGGCCTGGAAGAGGGGCAACCGGGACAGAATCCGGCGCCCCGACTGGGACTAGAACCCCGTGTGCCGGCGCCGCTAGGTGGAGGATTAGCCTAGTGAGCCGCGGCGCTGGCCAGAAGGTTCTTTCTCTCTCCCCCTGACCCCAAACAGAGATCGCTCTGTGCTCCAGGACAGGGATTCAAGATGGCATTGCTCTGGGGAGGTGGGCACGTGGGGTTGCCCTTGAAATTGAGGAGCCGGCACCTGCTCCAGTTCTGATTTTCATACGGCCCGTGCTGGGACCCCATTCGGGGCATTTCTCATTCACGGCAGGTCTTGGGCCTTCACGCTTTGGTGGTCCCACTGGGCAGCATGCTGAGAGTCATCGATCTGGGACCTGCAGCTGGAAGATGAGCTAAGGAAATGGAGAGAGGCTAGAGGATTGTGTGCCCTAGGAGTCAGCTCCTCGGCTTATGGATTGCAGGCAGACACTGCATGTTTTTCAAAGAGGGAGCTCCAGGGCGAGGTGTGTGTTTCCCGAGGTAACAGATCGCAGTGGCCGGAGAGCAGAGGCAGGAATTCAGCCACAGGTACCGAGGAGGTGATGGGAGAGGAGTATTTGCGCTACAGCAGTGCCACTGAGTTGACGGCGTGTGCGTTTCAGCCTGGGAGGGCAAGAGGTTCTGACCGTGGATGGTGGATGATGGAAATACACGCAGTACCACTGAACCACACGCTTAGAATGCTTAAGATGGCGAATTTAATGTTCTATGTATTTTATTTCATGAAAAAAATCACAAAAGAAGTATATAGAAGCAGCCATGTCCCAGACCAGTGCCACACAGTTGTGTGTGTGTGTGTGTGAGAGAGAGACAGAGAGCAAGTGAGAGAGCAGGTGTGAGGGGCTGCAGGGAAGCAGAGAGAGGTCACAGAGCTGGAGGGGGTGGCGTTTGAAGGCAGTGAAAGAGGTCAAAGGACAAGGGGTCACCTCTTCTCTGTGCACGGCAGAGGGCAGATGCTGACGAGAGACACTTGGCTCTTGGAGCAGGCGCTGGGCTGGGGTCAGCGCTGTCAGGCAAGGCAAGGCTGGTGGGCTAAGGCTGTCCGGGGCTGCAGAAGCCCCTGGAAGTTCCACGGTTTGGAAAGATCATGGCTCCAGGGACAGGGCCTGGAAGGCACTGGCTGATAGGGGAGTTAGCAGGTGGCGTCCTGGCCATACAGCCTGGGGTCCCGGCCAGGAGTTCGTGTCAGGAGGGTTTTGCAGAAGGGTGAAAAGCCTTGACCTAGGATGGGACCCCTCAGGCGGGCTGCAAGCAAAGAGGCTTTGGGGTGAGGGCTTGAGCTGCCCGGTGCGGGAGCGACAGATGATGCAGGAGCCACCGCTTGCACTTGGCGTGTGAGGCAGAGGTTTGCGCTCCCAAGAGGAACTCTGAGGCCCTGAACACTGGCGCGGGGAGCAGGCGGGCGCAGGATCACCACAGCTGCTGTGGAAGAGGGTCCTTCCCGCCTCCCAGGTCAACACCAGCGTTGGGGTCAGAGCAGCCCACAGTGGAGGAGGAAGGTGGAGGACGAGAACCGGGGTCAATGTATCACATCCACGTCTCGGCCTCACTGACGCGGACAGCCACACAAAGCCGCCAGCTCCGGCACCAATGCCAGTATCCTTGCCCACATGGGCGCCGCGAGGTCTTCCTAAGGCAGAACCAAGGCTACAGCTGCACGGGTGGGAGGGGGCTCACCCGGGACTGGGCGCGGGCTCCTGGCTGCCTTCCAGCCTCCCCAGCTCTCCCCCCTTCCTCTACTTGTCAGGACCTCGGTGATGACATCTGGCCCTCCTGGGCGATCCGGGCACTGACCTGTCACTTCTTGTGACTGTGAAGAAAGCCCGAGGCAGGTGGCTTTAGAGAGGACAGATTCTGCAGCTGCGACGTCTGGGGGCTCATCCAGCAAGGACCTTCCTGCTGGCCGACCCGAGGCAGTGCCGCGTGGCACTGCAGGAGACAGGGAGCTGCCTGTGTGTCTATCTGACTCCCTCCCTCCCTCAGGCCGCACACAGGGGGCCCCCAGCCCCCCACCTCTGAACACCACAGGCAGATGAACGCTGCACTCTCTCCATGTGCCACCGGGGGACTGCATTGCAACCCATGAAGCCCAGGGCGACTCTCAAACACACCGAGACCACCGCCCTCCTAACTCAACACCAGCTGAGGAGCAGCCGCCACGCCATCAGTATCCTCAGTGCCCCCGCCTTCCAGGGATTCGCGGACAACTCTGGGGCTCGAGGCTCTGCCCTCCACAGAGGACCTCGCACGTGCTGCAGAAGCTCTGGTCCTCCCCAGCTCCCAAACACCTCGAAGGCTCTCCAGTGCTAACTAACGTAAAAGCCTGTGGATTCTTGCCTGTGACAGCCTGGCAACCAAAGAATGGAAAGTCTGATTACCATGAGATAAAGAGGCCAGCACTGTGGCGTAGCGGGTAAAGCCACCGTCTGCAGTACCAGCATCTCGTATCAACGCCAGTTCTAGTGCCAGCTGCTCCTCTTCCGACCCAGCTCTCTGCTGCAGCCTGGGAAAGCAGAAGAAGGTGGCCCAAGTCCTTGGGTCCCTGCACCCGCATGGGAGACCTGGAAGAAACCGCTGGCTCCTGGCTTTGGATTGGAGCAGCCCCAGCCGGTGTAGCCATCCAGTGGATGGAAGACCTCTCTCTGCCCCTCTGCACCTCTGCCTTTCAAGCAATAAATAAATTTTTAAAAATGAGATAAAGTCAGTGCTAAAATAAGAGAATGATGGATAATTTTGGATTGATTATTAATCAATCAAATTTAATGACAGCCAGATCAGATAGGTGCCTTCCGTCTTCAGGAGACAGAAAATCCAAAAGCTAAACTTAAGGATTACAGGACTGTATCTCAGCATGCCACTGTGATTTCCTTTATCAGCTAGGCAACGAGGAAACAGAATATCGAGAATTTAGATAACAAGTGTGTTCAGATACTTCACTTTCACATGTGCACACATCCATTTCCACAAATACTCAACCCACCAAGGTAGCATAGCTATTTGTTAGTATTTGATTTTTCAGGTCTATTCTGGGTATATTCAGTGCTATGCAGTCCCATGATAACTCCGTGTTAGGAGGGAGAAATTCGGTCACAATTGTTCCCACGCTGTGTCCCACAGGGGACAGACATGCAGGGGGTGACGTCAACGTGGGCAGTGTCGGCCCAAGCAAAGCTCATACCGCTCGGCACCACAGGGCTGTGAGCCTCGACGCTGGTGCTCACCCAGCCTGCCCTGAGAAGGAGTGCCCCTTGTTGCACTGTGAAAACCGCAAGGTGCACACCACCTTCCCGGGGCAGGATCGGGTCCAGGCCCTTTGGAGAACACTGGGAAAATACACACGTGCTCACTGGAAGTCCCCGGGAATGACTGCTCTCTTGTTTCAGGCTGCGCCTCTGCCCATCTACCCATCCCAGATATCTGTACACTGAAATGAGAAGCCTACCTGGCATGCGATGTATATTAAAAACTAAAAGCCTTTAATCCTCTGCCTGCGGCACAGGCACACCGGGTTCTAGTCCCGGTCGGGGCACCAGATTCTGTCCTGGTTGCCCCTCTTCCAGGCCAGCTCTCTACTGTGGCCAGGGAGTGCAGTGGAGGATGGCCCAAATACTTGGGCCCTGCACCCGCATGGGAGACCAGGAGAAGCACCTGGCTCCTGGCTTCAGATCAGCGCAGTGCATCAGCCGCGGCGGCCATTGGAGGGTGAACCAACGGCAAAAGGAAGACCTTTCTCTCTGTCTCTCTCTCACTGTCCACTTTGCCTGTCAAAAAAAAAAAAAAACAACAACAAAAAAAACAAAAAAAAACTAAAAGCCTGAAACAGCATGCACCCATGCATACAGAAGGCCTGTCTCTACAGATGGATTTTTTTTCTCCAAAGGGAAAAGACACACACATTTCCACACCACCACGCACCGGAGCTCTGACGATTCGGTGCTGACGTGACAAGCTTGTGTTCCGTCCCATGCCGGACTGTCACCTCGTGCGGCACGGGGGCTCTTGCTGCGTCTTTGCACGTCTAGAGGCCTGGCCACGGCCCGCCAGGCCGCAGAGGCTAACAAACCCTTGCTGACCCAAGAGGACAACAGAACATTGCAAACAGTGCTGCAGGACCACGCAGAGAGGTTCAGATTACAGGCCAACCAGGGAGTGTGTACCGCGCAGAGGGCTGTGAAGCCGGGCACCTGGTCTCAATAAATATTTGTTGTGAAAATCAGTTAATGAATGAATGGGTGAAGATTAAATTTTAGCCGGAGAGATCAATGTGGCCCAGTTGAAAGGATCTGCTAGGGCAGATCTGCTAGGATCCTGCCTGTCCGTGATGGGCGGGTGCCGAGTCCAGAGGAGGGAGGTCTGAGTGTTGAGTGACGTGGGATGCGTTCAGCCTGGAGAGGCCGCACAGTGCAGCCAGTGCCATAGCAGAGGGGCAGCGGGAGCAAGTTCAAGGCTGAGCGAGCAGCTCCAGCTGACCGTGCTCATCGGCTTCGAAGCCGCGACAGCTCTGAGGTGGTGTGGGCGTGTTGTAGGCACACGCACGTTGTGGGCACTGGGCATGTTGTAGGCACACGCACGTCAGAACATTTCATCTTCACCACGGCTTTGTGAGGTGGACGCGGTTACAACCAGCTCACCCGCGGGGACACGAAGGCCTGCGGAAGTGGTTCAGCTGTGAAAGTCTCACGGTGCTAAAAAACAGTTCCTACTGTATACAGTTGGGGTCCTGCAACCTCTGACCTAACTGTTGCATTTGGGGAAGAAAGGAGAAACAGAACTGGGTAAGACAGCAGGCTCTCGCTATGAAGGGCTCGCTGGCCACACAGGCAGCCTGCACCTGCAGGGCACTCCTCGGCACAGCACCCCACTTCAATCTTTGTAAGGAAGGGCCCCTCTGGGGGGCTTTGCGAGGAGAGACTCTAGTGGCCAGAAAACCAGACCCAAGGAAGCAGCAGGAGGTTACAGGGGTGACAAGTGGAAGAGGGAACATCTGGTTCGAGGTCAGCTTCAGAGGGAGAAATAACAGCACTGCTGGCAGAGAGAAGAGAATACAAGGCATGCAGAACAGAACCCGAGTCAAGGTTGCTGCCTCGTGCCGAGCTGCTGAGGGCCACACGCGAGCGTCCTCCCCAACTGCTGAAGGGGACGGGGCACGGTGGGGAAGAGCGAGAGCTTTCTGAACGCTCCGCCACTTCGGGAACTGCCCCCTCCCCTGCCCCCTGCATCTCCCACTGCAGCCACCATCCCTGAACTCAGAGCGCCAAAGGTGGACTCTGAGACCTGGATTTTTTTTTTTTTATTTATTTTTTTTTTTTTTGCCAGGAAGAGTTAGACAGTGAGAGAGAGAGTTCTAGACAGTGAGAGAGTTCTAGACAGTGAGAGAGAGACTGAGAGAAAGGTCTTCCTTCCATTGGTTCACCCCCCAAATGGCTGCTGCAGCTGGCACACCGCGCTGATCCAAAGTCAGGAGCCAGGTGCTTCTCCTGGTCTCCCATGGGGTGCAGGGCCCAAGCACTTGGGCCATCCTCCACTGCACTCCCTGGCCACAGCAGAGAGCTGGCCTGGAAGAGGAGCAACCGGGACAGAATCCGGAGCCCCGACCGGGACTAGAGTCTGGGGTGCTGGCGCCACAGGGTGCAGGATTAGCCAAGTGAGCGGAGGCACCAGCCGAGACTCTGACTTTCACGGAGTCGCATCGGCCAAGCAGGGGGACAGTGGCTATCTGCTGACCACGTCCGACAGTGGATTTACTTCTAACGCGCACAGAGTGGAAATTCTAGTCTCCTGAGTCAGGGGACCCCTACTTCCTTGTCTGCCTCGTCCTGCGTATCCCCAGCTCTGAGTCACTGCCTCCTCACTGCTCCCGGCTCTTGACCTCCTTACCAAACGGCACACGACACATCCCGGCCATCACATGACTCATTTCACTTCAAAACCCGGGCCTAGCAAGCGACACTCTTCACACAGTAGCGCGGCCACGGAGCCCAGAGGACTCAACTTTACACTCACGCCGGGTGAGTTGCAACGTTCGTTGTCAGATCCTGGTGGAAAAAGCACCGTGCACGAGGGAGGCAGGCAGGGGTGGACAAAGACACGCTGCATGTGCGAGGAACCCTGGCGCTGCAGGAGCCAGGTGGACGTGGAGTTCGGAGAGGGGGCAGGACAGAGCCTCGTGAAGGGGTTCAGAGAGAAGGCCGAGATGGAACGGAGGCGGGAGGAGCGGCTTGGCTGCCGGAAGCAGGAACGAGGAGTCCACGTGGGTGGGCCAGAGCAAGATCCCGGGCTGGTGGGCTGGGCCATGGAGCACATGCGGTGGGGAGGGAGCACACAGGTCTAGGGGTTCAGCAGGGCTGGTCATGGTGCCCCGGGAGCACACAGGCCTAGGGGTTCAGCTGGGCTGGTCATGGTGCCTCAGGAGCACACAGGCCTAGGGGTTCAGGGGGTTCAGCTGGGCTGGTCATGGTGCCTCGGGAGGACTCAGGTCTAGGGGTTCAGCTGAGCTGGTCATGGTGCCTCGGGAGGACTCAGGTCTAGGGGTTCAGCTGGGCTGGTCATGGCGCCCCGGGAGGACTCAGGTCTTGGGGTTCAGCTGGGCTGGTCATGGCGCCCCGGGAGGACACAGGCCTAGGGGTTCAGGGGGTTCAGCTGAGCCGGTCATGGAGCCTCAGGAGGACACAGGCCTAGGGGTTCAGGCCAAGTCTGAACCAGGACACACAGGGCTCTTTAATCGCACCCCAGCTAAACAGACTTCCGCCCGCCAATGACTGAAGGATGTTCTCTGGTAAACATTCACTACGACTGAGAACGTGCCGTGCCGTCAAACACATCGCAGCAGACCTCAAAGCACTGAGGCCATGAGGATCATTCTCATCGAGGAGTTAGGCTGTAAATGCGTAAAACATGTAACCCAAACTTCCAAGTCTTAGCAACTGAGTATGCAGAGAAGGGTAGAGAAAGCAGCACCCTCGGGGGGAAGCAGGGAAAACTGTATTAATTTTTAAAGATTTACTAATTTATTTGAAAGTCAGAGTTACACAGAGAGAGAAGAAGAGGCAGAGAGGGACAGAGAGAGAGAGGCAGAGAGAGAGAGGCAGAGAGGTCTTCCATCTGCTGGTTCACTCCCCAGTTGGCCAGGAGCTTCTTCCGGGTCTCCCACGAGGGTGCAGGGAGGGGCCCATGCACTTGGGCCATCTTCTGCTGCTTTCCCAGGCCACAGCAGAGAGCTGGATCAGAAGTGGAGCAGCCGGGACTTGAACTGGTGCTCATATAGGATTCTGGCATTGTAGGCGACAGCTGTTACCTGCTACGCCACAGCGCCAGCCCCAAGAATACTTTAGGCCAAGTGATAATGAAAGTACAACACACTGGGGGTGAAGCAGAAACTACATTGAGAAGGACATTAATAGTCTTAAATATCTGTACCACACACACACATGCACACAAACTGAATAGTAGTCTTAAATATCTGTACCACACACACACATGCACACAAACTGAATAGTAGTCTTAAATATCTGTACCACACACACACATGCACACAAACTGAACACCAAATAAGAATAACTATCTCGGGGCCGGCGCTGTGGCGCAGTGGGTTAACACCCTGGCCTGAAGTGCTGGCATCCCATATGGACGCCGGTTCTAGTCCTGGCTGCTCCTCTTCCAATCTAGCTCTCTGCTGTGGCCTGGAAAAGCAGCAACAGATGGCCCAAGTCCTTGGGCCCCTGTGCCCGCATGGGAGACCCGGAAGAAGCTCCTGGCTCCTGACTTCGGATCAGCGCAGCTCCGGCCTTTGCGGCCATGTGGAGAGTGAACCAGCGGATGGAAGACCTCTCTCTCTCTCTCTACCTCTCTCTGTAACTCTGCCTGTCAAATAAATAAAATAAATCTTTAAAAAAAAGAATAACTATCTCAAGGAGTTTAGAAAACTAAATCCATTAAATATAAAGGAAACAGAAGAGAAAAAGATAGTAGAGATGAGAACAGAAGTTAATGAAATAAAAATACATACAATAGAGATAGCAGAGAGGTTAAAAGTTATTTTTATAGGATCAATAAATTTGGTAAGTGCCTGCCACCATCAAGGGATTAAGGAGGGGCTGGTGCTAGGGCGCAGTGGGTAAAGCTGCTGCCTGCAGCACCGGCATCCCAGATGGGCACTGGTTCGAGTCCCAGCAGTTCTACTTCTGATGCAGCTCTCTGCTGTGGCCTGGGAAAGCAGAGAAGATGGCCCAAGTGCTTGGGCCCCTGCACCCTCGTGGGAGACCCAGAAGAAGCTCCTGGCTCCTGGCTTCGGATCGGCACAGCTCTGGCCGTAGAGGCCACTTGGGGGGTGAACCAGCGGGTGGAAGACCTCTTCTCACTGTGCTTCTGCCTCTCTGCTTTCAAATAAACAAACAAATCTTTTAAAAAGTGAGAGATTAAGGGAGAGATAAAGAAAGGAAAAACATTCCAGAATTGGGACTAAAACAGGAGCATCATCGTAGCCCTCTCAGGCACTGAAGAGACTGCGGAAGATAATGTGCATAACCCTGATGCCAGCACATTTTAAAATGTGCGTAAGTGGACAACTTCCTCAGAGAACACATGCAGCAACGTGAAGACAAAATTAAATAGAAAACCCAAGGAGCCCTCTGTCTTACTAGTAAATGTACTATTAAATTAAAACACACAAATCCATACATATAAAAGTCCAGGCCGTACTGCTTCAATGGTAAAAGTTTCCAAACATTTAAGAAAGAAAAAATACTACTCATACGTAAACATTTCCACATAGCAGAAACATAGAGTGCTTCACAATTCTTTATGCAATCAGCAAAATCAAATCTGGTAAGATACAACAAAGGAAAGATAGAGGCCAACTCCTTCATCCAGGTATTTCCTGAACAAAATATTAGAAAATTGAATTAGTCAATATATAAAGCTTATAATCTATCAAACTAAGCTGGGATGTATTCCTGGAATGCAAGGTTGGCTTAATATTAAAAATCAATCACTGTAAATTACTACATCAAAAATTATATCTTATATATGCAAATGAATTGCTTGGCCAGTGCCACGGCTCACTAGACTAATCCTCTGCCTGCGGCGCCGGCACACAGGTTCTAGTCCCAGTTGGGGCACTGGTTTCTGTCCTGGTTGCTCCTCTTCCAGTCCAGCTCTCTGCTGTGGCCAGGGAGGGCAGTGGAGGATGGCTCAGGTGCTTGGGCCCTGCATCCGCATGGGAGACCAGGAGGAAGCACCTGGCTCCTGGCTTTGGATCTGCACAGCGCGCCAGCCACAGCAGCCATTTGGGGGGTGAACCAACAGAAGAAAGACCTTTCTCTCTGTCTCTCTCTCTCTCACTGTCTAACTCTGCCTGCCAAAAAATAAATAAATAAATGAATTGCTTGATAAAATTCAATATATACACATGAATTTAAAAAACTCTAGGAATAAAAGGGAACTTTCTCAATATGATGAAGGTGATAAAATCTATTGAAGTTATTATTTTTCACTTTAAGATATTTTCCAGTGAAATTAGCAATGAAAATGTATCCTAGTCAATATTTTAAGGAAAG